CACCAACAAAAAAGTACTAATCAAGCTCAACCAGACGGGAGTAAAAGTAGTAGCCAACGTTGACGATGTAGTGATTTTAGTAACCGGGTTGTTTCCATCTGTGGTGAGTAACATCGTGTATGGAACTTTAGCAGAGCTATGCCGTTGGGCTGAGCAATATGACCTTAAAGCAGCGATGGGCAGAGAGAGCTTTTACTCTGCTCTCGCCTATACAAATGTACAGAAAGCTTAAAAGAGCTTTGCCCACGGGCAAGGCAGTGCCCATGAGTGCCTTAAAGTAAACCTGGAGAAAAAAGAATTAATGTTCTTTACGGCCAGTAAGCTTTGAGTGACCAAAGCTGAATGGACAAAATCTACAACCATCTAAACAAGTGAAGTATCTAGGAGTCATACTGAACACTAAGCTAAGTTGGAAAATGCCACAATCTAAAATAATGCAGTCGACAAAGATTGTTTTCATTGCCTCTTCTTGGTTTGCTAAATCAAGAGGTGGTAAATCCAACAAAGCATTAAGAGCCGGTCTTGACGTTGTACTCATTGCGCTCGTAATGCCTACTCACATGCTCCTTTAGAGCCTGTTTAACACAGAAACCCAGGTTGTGATGATGGCCCTACGCAACCATACTCCAGTAGAGTACGGGACGATTGGTCCGACTAAAACTATGTGTATCCAGAATATCATAGCCGGTCTCAGAGCCCAGGTCTTACTAAAGGTCCCCCGACACTCTTCGAAAACTTTCAGCGCTCAATTTATCTTCAAGTCGACGTGAGTTTTCTATCTCAGCTTCGTATCTTATACATACATATATGTATTAGTATATGCTTATATACATATTTCGCAAATAACCGTTACGTAAACAATGTCAAAGGGTATATCCCTTGTGCACAAGTCCGCTCGTAAAAAAAAATACAGTAAAATATAATAGGGATTTTCTAAATGGAGCATATTGGTAATCTAATCAAACATACATCAGAACTGCTGTAAGCACAGAAAAATAACAACACTGAGTAAAACAATTGTACCTACGTTTACATAAACACACATACGTCTATATTTGTATCAGGTATGTTGCGAATATTTGCAATCGCATTCGTTATGCAAATGATTCGTATCATTTTAAAAATTCGCATTGACATTCGCATTCGCATCAAATGATTCCATTATTTTTCGAATGCGAATGTATTAATATTTACATATTTTAGTTATTTTTACAATTTATTCGTCGAAAGTGAGCATTTGTTCAGTGCAGCCAGCATTATATACAAGCCTCTGAGAAATCGCCTCATATCAGCAAAGGCAACAAAATTACTTGTAATATGTATGCCCCTTTTGAACTTTGACTAAAACACTGTATAGGTTATGCACTGGTTCAATGTTCTAATAATTTATAAAACGATGACTCAACTTGATTACAGCTTAATGCTATTCCTAATATTCGCATTCGTATTCCTAAAATTCGCATTCGCGAATCTGTAAAATATGGTATTCGAAACATCCCTAATTTTTATATCTGCAAAAATAGGCTACTGCGATGTCGATGCTATTAAGTTCTTGCACTTAAGGTCACAACGCTAATTCAACAGAAAGTTAAAATTTTATTACAAATTGCACATAAAATGTTTTACAGAAAAACTATTTTTTAAAGAATATAAAGGCCTCAGTGCTACTCAATTCCTGTAAAGAATCACAAATGCAATAAGTGAGATACTAGTTTTTGGCTTCCATGGCCAACTGAAGTTATCGGTCGGTGGCAGGTATAGCGCGATTCAACGTTGGTCATAATTTATTTGAAAGCATATGAGCACGCTTACTCGGTGATTTAATTGTTGTGCAGCTTGCCGACAAGTGAAATGCTAAGTAAACTCAGTAAAAAACACTAAGCTGTAAAAAAAGATGTTGTGTATGGATGCATTTATTTGCTCAGGTAAATCGGAACGTTCCAATGTTAAGCGCTTCAGACTAGCTAAAACTCATCAGGCGCATATCGAATGTGATGACAAAAGGTCAACTTAAGCCTCTACTGGATCATGGGCCACCATTGGTATGCTTTGGTTACCACTTCTATACATACACACACATATACCTGAAGAAACTGAGTTGCTATCACCGTCAGATTAGATATCATTAAGTAAAAATCCTATACCAAGCTTTGCAGGCAAACTTGATTTCAGCGGTCTATTCAGTAATAATTTTTATGTCGATGTGAGCACATAAAGTCACCAGGAAAGCTTGATGTAGACGTGAACACATTACACAATTATGGCCGAAAAATGATTGAATAGTAAATGTTAAAAAAAAAAATTCTATTGATATACATATTAACCCCTGCTAAATTACATCCTGGCTACGCCTTTGCTCATATCGTTGATGTATAAAGTTTGGCAAAAGATATGTAAGCTTTCATTCAGTTTTCCAAATTGGTTTAGGCTGGAACACCTCAAAACGTTATCCTAAGAAGTTAGTATTTGTTGTTTCTATTAACTTTTATTCATATTATACAAATCTATGTATCGCTCCACCTTAATGTATACATGTGCATGATGCATCAACTGATATGTGAATTTGTTTTGCGCGGATTTGCAAAAAACAAAAATACAGACTGCTATTGCAAATTTGATTTGATTTTACTTTGATTGGAATTTACATACAAACTGATTGGTAATGCGGATTTTGTGTATCAAAGCAAAACCGCAGTACACATTGCAGAGCTAGAGGAGTTTAGTTACTACATATTTGTATTAAATATTGTTGGCAACAGAAGCCATTGCCGTTAGGCGATTTCAATTTGTAGATTAGCATATGCCGTATTGCAGCAACAGCGATTTGATAGGAAAAAATTTCTAGCAGCATACGTATGCACTTTTGTATCTATTAATAGCTTTTATGAAAATTTACCTGAAGAGATTTCTGCTAGTTCCAACACCTTTACCAGATGCCAGTTCAACACACAATTTCGCATTAAACGCATTGCCGCTGCAAATTGGAGATCTTATCTTAGCATGCAGAATGTTCTTGCATTAACGTCGAAGACGAAAATTAGATTTTTTGCATGCTGATTTTTTTCACCCCCTTCTAAATTTAATAAACAGATACATTTTATGTCATACATATATATTTTTTTTTACGTGAAACTACTTCAATTCACAGTTAAATTGTATCTGTTCAGGAAACATCGACTATCTTCACACTTTCTAATAAGCAATTTGCAATGTCGCTGCACTAATTAAATACACGTAAATTGACATCTTTTTTAGTTCTGCGATAAGCTATTATCTTATCAGTGCTAAAAAACAGGTAGCATTGTCGGATCCCCTCTTTTTTCAAATAGTTGCTGTGATTTTTCTAAACAACCATTCCTTGTTACATCTAAAAATAACCTGTAATGGTTCGTTTTGTATTGCATCCAAAGCAGCCCCAGTAGGAAAGCTTGGTATTCTGATGGTATTTATTGCGGGTCTGCCCCACTACATTATAGATGCATAGCTGATAATGGGCCTTATAATACAGTGCAGTCCATTAAATTCCTGTAGGTGACTTACTCCACGACTTACCAAAGATCTGCTTGTTTTACCAGAAGAAAGTCTGCTTTTATTTGCTTCAACTATTGCTTTCAAGTCCGCTCGTTCGTAGCCGAGTAAGGCGAGAAGACAGGGGAAAAATACAAATACTTTCGTACCGCCAATTTGTTTCAAGTTAGCTTGCTTTGGTTTTGAGATTTCATTCACATTTAAAGAACAAATAACCAGAATTCGATAAAAATTTAAGCCGTTAAAAGTAAACCTAAGAAATGCAAAAAATAAAAATAAAATACAAAAAAATACACAAAAACGTTTAAGTTGCTGCTTGCAGTGAAATGCCTTATATACTAGCCGATAGCTCACTGTCACAACACTAACCGAATTTCGCACGTGAGTCGAAGTTTTGGCATACATTGGTCTGGATTCTTATTTGTCAAACCCACCACTGGGTTTGTCCTTCAAAAGCGTTGAAAAGAGTTTCATCCAGTTCTCAAGTGTATTCATTCTGCATGCCTATAGTCAGATTTACGTCTGCGCCTCATCGGCATTCAGCCTTGGACTTGAATCCATTCGATTCCCGCCTTATTTTCTAAGCCGCATTTTTGGCTAGGCTCTACCAGCCTGCTTTGCGGTTTCTTTATTTGGCCCTCTGACCAGGGGATACCCCAGTGGTTTTATGCATGCTTCGATGCTGGTGTCTTGAACTGTCACGTTTCTTGCCGCGGAGAAGGTGATCAACCTAAGTATTTCCGTTATCCGATGTGTTGTCATAAAAATTGAAGTTTCCGGCAGTTCCCCCTAACCGAAAATCCCACAAAGAATTTTCGCGCCGTCTCAAGGCGTGGCAGATTTTGGCAGCTGAATTTGGTTTTATTCAGTAGTAGTAATACTTTGGTAAGTAACTTCCAATAGGTTTACAAAAAACAAACTTATGTAGATTTCATTTGGTTTTGCTGGATTTCCTTTAATGAAAGTACTTTGACACGTTTATAGCTTTTCTCTTTGAATCCTCAGTAACGTTGCGCTGGGGCGCAATCACTTTCCGACCGAAAATAAATAGGGCACTTAGGGTAGAGGCCGTCACTCTGAACGGTTTTCGCTTCTTAGAGGATCCCTTTAGCCAACTTAGTGATGGAAAAGCATTATATAGAAACTTTTGTTTTCGAATTTCGGCTGCACTTTTGGATTTCGGCCGCACTGTGCGACGGTATTTACATTATCACTTCAATTACGCTATTTCAAATAAATATCTAATATTGTGAAGAAATTTATCTTGGTTGACCTAATTTGTAGCAGCACAAAAAGATAATCTAATCAGCTTACACAATTCCAAGAAAAGCGATGAACTTAGTTGTATTAAATAAATCTATGCCATTACGATAATAAAAACTGCACGAAATAAGTATGTACATAACTATGGTTGTACATACATATACTTATAAATCAATCATTATGAGTAAGTGCACAGAACGTCTATAAATATGCCACAAATGGTTGCAGTAAAACAGTTACGAATATTCCTTGGCTATCGTTGCAATTTAAAGCGAATAACGATTATGAAAACCAGTAAGTAGTTACAAAATTATCGCCTCCTCACATATCCTATGCGTTATTTTCTCGTTTAACAGTTGGCACCTTAGTTCTTTGCACTTTGCTCTTGGCTAGCGCTGCTGATGAGTACTGCGATCCGGATAGCGATGGCGCACCCATTTGTCCGACTAATTCTAATGGTCAAACATATCGTAACTTCTGGGATCCTACTAGATATTGGTTGTGCTATGGCGCTGGTGAGCCTATTTCGGTACTGTGCCCCAGCAATACTGGTTATAGTGGTGTTAGTAATAAATGCGTGTCATGGATAGATTGGGTGTGGGTGCCACCATGTACAGACGCTATATAAAGAAATTCACCATTCGGTAATTGATTGCGGCATTATGGTACATCTAGAAGAATTTAAAAATGTAAAATGTGATATATGTATATATATATACATATTTGTATACAATATTATGGTATAGTAGTACCAAGATGATTGAAACAAAATGCTATTTTTATATTATTTCACATTTGTTGCCGCTATAACTGCTACTCGTCTATATTCGGAAACAATAAATACTTTAGGAAAGACCTCAATTTTATAATTACAGCCCTTTCAGAAAGCATCCGGAAGTGTATTGACAAAAACGCAACGCTATGGAAATGACATTCCTTACACATTTACTATGCTGCCCCATACCCAGAAAAGTACCAAGATTGCTATTCCCGTCTACGTCGCAGTGTCCCGAAATGACTCAGCGATCTCGTTAAAAATTGTTCGATATTTCATGGCTACCATGGAGATTGTCGGAAGGTATTTGATTGCCACCAGGCTATCAGTGAAGATGCAGACATCAGCTTGGAATATCATATCACACTTTAACAATTTTGTGGCAATCTGTTCTGCCTGAAAAACGTTACAGTGGTCCGGAATATGAAAGCTAAGTTAGTATTCTACCATGACCATAAAGAAAATTCAGTAGGATATAAGTACGTATGTATGTATGATATGGTGTTGTTCTCATCGCACCAGCGTATAATTTTGGATACCATTCTCCATCTTTTTCCTATTGGCCTGGTGCAGGAATATAGTGCCACTGTTGCTTTGCACACTCTATCAGCAATGTTGGGCCCCCAGTTTAGTTTCCTATCTAGTATGATACCTAGATTTTTGGTATCTTCCTTTACTACAAGGCTCATCCCCTCTAGAGTTATAGGATCGTGATCGGGTATATTGTGCTTCCTAGTGAAGAGCACTAGATCCATCTTTTCAGGATTTGTTTCCAGTCCTCGCCTGTTGCACCAAAGTGATAATTTGTTAAGAGATCTTTGAATTAGACCGGCCAATGTTGGGAAGTGTTTACCCAATATAGCTATTAAAATATCGTTGGCTTATGCAATTACCTTCGCACCATTATCTTCGAGTTCTTGAAGGAGGCTGGGAACCTTTTTATTTTTTATTCACCTAATCCAGTGCTTATTTCTCGTATATATGCACTGTATTATGTTTATTTTTTTTTTGTTTTCGAAATTCCTTTTGCGAACTTCAATTCCAACTAGAAGAAGCAGTTAAAGAATTTTATTTTGATAAATGCAATATCTATACATTTATCTTAATTACTTCTGTAAGTTCCAAAAACAACTTTGTTTCCGCATTTAATGCTTACCTCCATATATGGAATAATGGATCCAAATATTAACTTATGTGTATCACATTAATTGAGGTTTTAAACAAAAATATATCCAAATACTAATTGGCATTTAAGTTGTATCGCTTTGGGTCATTCTGTCTGTATGGACTATGCATATGTATGTATGTATGTAGCTGCTGAGGCGTTTATGTCTCTGTGGCCAACCGCCCAGTGGCAACGTCTGCACTCAACTGCTGGCCAAAGCTCGGCGCAAAGCCAATTGCCTGCGGGCCATTTGTGTTAGCAAATGATTGACTTGCTACTTGCTGGCCACTATCAATTATAATTATCGATTACCAACAACTACTGAATAATTACTAATGAGCGATAACAATATTGGAAGCGCGTACTTAAGTCAATATGTATGGATGTAAAGAAGTATACACAAACGTATAATTGTTAGGTATGGAATAAGATAAAAGTACATAGTATATACAGACGACTATAGAGTACATATATGAATACATACAAACATTTCTGCTTACAGAGATATGCATTAGTACATATGTATGTATTAGGGTGGCCCAAATAGTTTTTCCTCCAGATCTGAAGAATATCAAAAATTAGAAGACACGTTGTTTTTATAAAGAAACTTAATTAATTTTATCGAGCCTTTAAATAATTTTAAATTTTCAAATATATGGCAACCCTATTTTTCGAAAATTTATACCACATACCCACAGAAATAATCGAGTAGAATGCAAAAAAAAGAAATAAACGCATTCATTGAACTGTTCGTGCGTGATGTGGTTATGAAAAAATAAAATAACTATTTTTGTATATAACAGATGGGATTATCGGTTACTAAAGCATACTTAGTAAAAATTTTAAGCTAAATAAGCATCATAGTGTTATTTTTTGAAGACTTCTGACGGGAAATAGCCTTATTCGATAAAAAAAAATATTTTTTTTGAACAATTTTATAGCAATTTTATGAAAAAAATTATTTTCCCCATGTAAAATATATGGGAAATTTCAAAGACCCGGCGTCACGGGTAAATATTGCTTATAATATTCTCCAATTCTGGGGATGGCAGCAGGAAAAATCAAAACAGTTGATTTTCCTATGTATTTTTGGACCACCCTAATGCACATAATATAAGTAGTGAGATACGAAGATTACTACAATTGGCCGGCTGATGGCTATTTCCTTTTGCTAATTGATTATTTAATAAAGCTTAATGGTATACACTTTAAAGCGCGCGAGCTGCGTTAATTCTAAAGTTTCCGTTTTACTTAAGTGTTTACGTTGGAATTGAATAGAAAAAATTTGAGTTGGTCATATCGATTAAGGCAAAATGGTTAATAAGGTGGAAAATAGAGCAGTTTTTGTATTTTTAGGTTTTCTACATATTTTACTTTTTTTTATTTTATTTTTTTTTTCTATACATATTCCAAACTATGTATTTGCTATCTTCTCTTCTACAGAATAGGCCAAATGTCAGTTACTAATTAAATGATAAAGAAAGTGCCGGAAGTGCATTTCAAAGTGAAGTGTGAGTAATGTGAAAATCGATAAGAAACAATTTTAAATTTGCAAATATTAATTTGCATAAGTAGTTCCTGATAACTGAACAGCAAAACACGAGAATTTTTCAGTGCCCTTCTATGCTTCTGTGACAAGAACTTGTAGGGGTTACGTAACTAGTTGGAGCGAAAGTTTCACTATAAAAACCGCAGAAATGCAGCAAAATGTCATTCGACTTTAGTTTTTTCGACGCCTTCACTCGAGCAAAAAGCACAAACAGGAAAATGAAGTTTGGTACGTGGAAAGTTCTGAAGAAAAAAATAAATTTTTTGCAAAAAAAGAAAATATTAAAAATCTAGGATCGTCCTACAAAAGTGAAATGAAAAAAAAATGTTTAAACAAAGAAAATAAGCTAAACACCAACAAAATTACAGAAGCAAAGTAAAAAAAAACAACTAACATTTAAATATCTAACTCAGATACTTGAAGGCCAGTGCGGGAATTTCAAAAATAATACATAAAAAAGTCAAATATACTCTTTAAAAAAGAAACCCTTATTAAACATATTTTGGCGCTTTTGTTAAGTGTTGTTACACAAATGGAAGGACCTACAGAGAAACCATTTCATAGCAGAAATACCCTCAAACGCTTTAGAAACAAACTTTTATTTTAGAATATTGCTCTGCGCTGGTCTGGAAAATTGGTCCAAAATCTAAAAATTAAATAAACACAATTTTTAAATCATTACTTTCTTTCTAAATAATGCATATAAGAATAGTAATATTCTTATTAAAATTTTTTTTCGGATTCTCCTTCATACAGCCTACGTATTCACCTTCTTCGCTTTGGTTTTTGTTGTCGCCATCCACGCAGAGTGTGACCCCGACGGCGATGGACAACCTACCTGCACCGCTGATAACGAAGGCGCTATTTCACGCAACTTCTGGGATCCAACTCACTATTGGCAATGTAAAGGAGGTGAAGCTACCTCGGTTCAATGTCCACCAAAAACTGGTTTCTTAGAATCAGCTAAAGGCTGTGTCGCTTGGAGCGAATGGAAGTGGACTCCACCATGCCCCGATGTGAGGCCTTAAATATATTTTATCTTAAATATTTTCCAATATGGTCTAATGTTCAGCTCTAAATAAATAAATATGTATGTACATAATGATAGCTAAAGCGCTGTAAAAGGTTTTACTCTTTGTGGTTGGTGGTTGGTTTCGTATTCATTTTTATTTTTTATTAATATATTTTTAAGTCAAAATCATCGCCGTTCTTACGGGTTAGGTATTGGTTTCTTGGAAGAGGCTTATAAAAAGAAAATGAATAAGAAATTAGTCAAGACGCCCAGCTTTAATGTAGATGCGGAGAATCGCTTCTAGGAACTTCCGTCTCCTGATCAAAAAACACATTGATCACATTGTGAAAGACTTCAAATACGGTTTGAGTGCTGTTGATGTACGTTTCGCCCAAGGAGCCACCATCGACTCGGGTCACTATCTTGTTTCAGCTAAGATCCGCTTGCAACTGTGTAGCAAGTCCGGCTTAAACAAGCAACTTCTCATCGACACTAGTGGCGCGTTTGATGACCAAGACAAGGTGATAACAGCAATAATGCGGCTTCGGAATACCGGCCGAGTGGAACAAATACAGTGGCGAACAGCTATTTGAGCGCGTGTACCAACTGTTAAGCGCCATTTGCTCAGATGACTATGCACATGCAATTACAGGAGGGGCGCACAGTCCACTTGAAAGATGCTAATGTTTGTGCCAATTACTGAGCTGTAAGTTATTATGCATAAATCATAAAAACGATACTAGAAGATATTCCCAACATGGGAAGAAATTTCCTACCGATAATTCTGTGCGAACGACTGAAGACCAACATGAACCAACTAACTTGGCATTGCCAGTGTGATTTTAGACCTGGAAAATTCGCCATTGGTAAGATTTTAACAATGTGCTCAGAAAGTCCAGGAAAAGGCACTAAGAATTTAAGTGGATCTGAATATGAAATCCCTGTAAAACTCTGCGGCAGCGTAGACTGATGATGACCACAACGTTTAGCTCCGTCCAATATGCCCAAATTGGGAAGGACCTGTGCGCGCCGTTCGCAGTTAAAAGTGGCTGAAAATTGTGCGATTAACTTTCCGTGTGAGTTCTTTAATCTGGTTTTGGAAAATTTTATACGCGCTGCCAAACTGAATCGCAGACGTTGGTCAAATGGTTATCGAAAACCAGATTAATAGCTCCTGGCAACGCACAAAGAGACATCGCGTGTTGAACACACATCACTGCTGGCAGTTATAGCTTTGAAGTAGTGAAGTACTTTGTCTACCTAGGATAGACAGATAACTGGAATTGCATGGCTAGGTCAGCGCTTAAAACTGCAAAGGTTACGCTTCTTCGGCATTTCGTATGCATGTATGATGATTTCCCGGTGAAAGGAGCCTTCGACTCGGCTCCCATTGGTGGACAACGAAAGCAAGCGCGGCAACGAACAAAGCGCAGGATTACCTGCCTACACTTGGTTTGAATAACTGCCGTAACTTCACAAAGGAGTGAAGTAGTTGGCGAAGTCTTTAGTCCTCAGCCAAAGCCCACAAGCGGTTGTAGCGCCGTACATACATATAAGTAGAAATGGTATATTTATTCATATCAAAAGTAGATATTTGTTTATATCATAGTATTATACGATTTTTGGAGAACTTGTCGAAACTTGTCGAAAGAGGGCTGTGGCCTATGTTCTATGTATGTAAGACCCTAAAATCTGTTATTTTTTTTTTTGGTACAACGCACCCAGTGCGACAAAGCTTCTACTTCAAATAACAGTCGCAGAAGCAATGGTTTTTATATATATTTTTTCAATATTTCTTATTCTCGTTATTTGAAAACAATTTTCTTAACAAAATTTTTACCTAAGTGCAGTACAGTGCAGGAAGACATAAAAAGCAAACGAATTCTTGTTTTCGCATATCAAGATCATTTCGTTCAATGTTGACTCTTAACACCTTTGGAGGTAAAGAATTCTTTTTGGCCTGACTAGTATCAACATATGTATGTATGTATGTATGTACGTTTGTACGCGCGCTTACTGTCGTCTAACGGCCTCTGCAGCCAACTAACTGCCAAATGGCCAACGTATTCAACTGATTGTTTAGCATTGATAGTGAACACACGTCGCGAGCGGTGAACATTATTTGTAGACACTATGCTCCTATTTATTTTTCAGGTGTTTATGGGTGTTCTCCCGCGCATTTGGGTACACACTATATACTTTTTATATTTCTACATTCGCATAGTTTACTTTATTCGATTATCCTAAGCAAAAATCTACAAACAGTCGTACATACTTTTCATGTAACGGGTAACCTATTTTCATTACAAATTTATATGAAATCGATTTTGTTTTATTTTTTCAATTTCAATGTTTCCATTCTAGTTGTTCAAGGTAGAGATGCTGATAACTGAGCAACAGCAGCTACTGTGTTTTTTGTATTTGAAGACAATATACTATCATACATATGTACATATTTATGTATAGTTGCGTAGGTCAGGTCATCACAATTCACACCCTCACTTGTTTGGTAAGTTCAAAATGCAATAAAAGGCATATCTTTGATCTCTACAATAGCAATGGTTTCTTTATTTGAATTGTCGCAGTTAATTGGTAAAGTATTGACTTGCAGTTCAAAGCGTTTTTATGCAAGTTTGCTACAATGCCTGCATAGAGTTGTATTAAGATTATATTGCTTTATGTGAACTCTTATCTTCTCTAAAATAAAACAAGCTAAGAAAAAAATGAAACTGTGTGTTGTTGGTTTTATTTTTAGCAGCCTCACGGAAGTTGCAAAGACATTCGACTTCTTATATCACATGATAAACTACTTAAGTATACGAGGAGGAGTAAAGAAGAAAAGAGCCTTATTTGAACTTGTCTACACAAAGTATTGGCTAATCGCGATCTCTTTAATTTTGTTTAAAGCGGACCATTTATACCCATATAATGCTCTCTCTCCCATTTTACCTTCGAATTTGAAGCAATCTTCCTTCGAACACTGCTTGTTTACTTTTACTTATCATATGTGTGGCGTAGAACAAATTTCAAATTTGTTTGTTGAATTCTAAACACCTAATGTTCACAATTTCACAGTTTGCACAAAAAAATTTTAAAATTTGCTGTAATTTTTTTTTTTTTTTTTAAATTTATGCATGTAAAGAGAGGTAACCAGTTTTCTCTCCTAATGTGTGCAAAGTTAAACACTGCCTGTTTACTTTTATAAATATACCAAATTTGTCGCGTAGGCAAACTTACACATAAAATGTTTAAAATTGGGTATATATGAGCACTTAATGTTTATTATTAGTAGAAAATATATTTTAACTTTCAAAATTTTTACAATTTTAAACATTTCATGTGTGTACCTATGTGAATATTTTAAACACCTAATGTTCAAAATCAAATCTTGAACATCTTATATTTATATATTTACACAGATTCTGGTTGAAAAATAGACACTTTTCAGTAGTAGATTTACATACACTTTTTAGAGTGCAGTTCAGCCAGTATTTCGTCGGCCTCAGTACATTTATTAGGTCCAGTGGAGGGCCCTTACCCTTGTCGCTTAGTATTTGTCTGGGTTCTCTTTCATGATACGCGTCACTCAAAAGCGCTGAGCGGTGATCAATCTGTACCTTAGGTATGTTCAGTGCAGTTATACCTTTCTGATTATCCTTTTTCTCTACAAGGAAATACGTATTTTCTACAACCTTCTTTCTCGGTGGATGCTGCGTAGTTAGCTCTGCTCTTTCGAAACGTACAGTAACATAACTATAGAAACTGGTATAATGAGCTCTATATTTTCGCTTTTCTACATCATTGCGCCTGGAACCGAGGTACTTTCTTAGCAAGACAGATAAGTAATAAACCATTCGACTACGCAAACTGTTGGCTTAACTATTTGAGATTATGGCAGTCGATAACGCGGAGTCTTGCACGCATTCCGTCCTTGGCATTGCGTACCCAGATTAAATGGACGACCTGCATTAGAAGATTTTAGAACTGGCTCTTATCTGTGTGTAAGGTTTTATTAAGGATCTAAATAAGTACTTTCATCCAAAGAATCTAGCTCTTTGTATTTGGATTGAATCGATCGAATTGCTGTCTTACAATCACTCTATTTTTAAGTGTCTTGCTATGTGTTTTTGGTGCAAAATTTTAACTGATTTTTGCACAAATATTTACACGCTTTCCGTTGCACGATTTTTAACTTCCCGCTTTTTGCACTAGCATACACTAAATATCACAAAAATAACTACACAACTTTTGTGACTAGGTCAACACTTTGTCGATGCACAAACAGTTCATTTGGTGATTTCCAATTACAATTGAATTAGAAAATACCGCAATTCCGAGTCACCCTTAATCGGTGTCGTTGCGGTCGCACCGGTGGTGTCGGTGGCGGCGGTCGGTAGTGTTGGTGGCAATGTTAGCTTGGGCCGTTATTGACGGTGTCATGACTGGGCTGCAGCGCATGCTGTTTCTATTGTTGTTGCTGCTGTTAACCTGTTATCTATGCTACTCATCTCAACATAGCGGGATTAGCTTTTCGCGCGCGGACTCGCTTGTCTTTCATTTCCTTCTCCTTCGATTTAGGCTCAGCCATTTTAGTTGAGTGTAGCTGTTTTTGGTAATGACGCTCAATGCACTTCAGACTTGACTTGGTTCGCCTGTGCGCCTGTGAATGAGGAGTGAGTGAGCGCAAGCGCGCGTGCGTCATTTGCCAATTGCGGCCGCTGTGTGCAGCATGTGGCAATGCTGGTTGGCATGTGAATGTCATGTCGATCGAACGACACGATCCTTGCACGTCCAAAGCGCGCCTTCTATATTTGTGCTAGTCTTCCATTGTAAGAGTACTTTTCTCGTTTGTTTTTCTTGTGTTTGCATACTTTTTCCAATCGACAAATTTACATAAGAAACATGTTGCAACTGCTACAACAACAAAACAATCATCAACGGTAGTAGGCTGACACATTAGGCATCGGTAAAGTAAGCTGCGGTTAAATCTCATGAGGATTTTCACCATAAGGTGCAAGTTGTATATTTTGTGGCTAAAACTTACTTGTAGGCATGTAATGCCTATATATTTACTATTAACCAATAGGATTTGGCGA